TACACATACATACATACATACATACATACACAGATACATACATAGATACGTACATATAGACATACATAAATACATACATACATACATACATAAATACATACATACATACATACATACATATATATATATATATATATATATTCATACTTACAGCGTATACTAATGCTTTATTTCTGTGTGTATGTGTATATATTCATCCATATAGGGCACGCTATTGATTTGTATATGTGTGTATGTTATATATTCATACATACAGCATACTATATTGCTTTATTTGTGTAGATGTATATCTACATGCAACGTACGCTAGTCCTTTACATGTATATATATCTATATGTATTCATACATGCAGCGTTCACTATTGCTTTGTATATGTATGTATATGTACTCATACATACATCGTACGCGAATGCCTTTATATGTGTATATGTATACGCATTCATACGTACAGCGTACGCTATTGCTTTATGTACATGTATATGTATATATGTATTCATACATACAGCGTGCGCTTGTGATTTTTATATGCGTATATGCATATGTATCCATACATACAGCGTACGTTAAGGCTTACTATATGTGTATATATAAATTATTCAAATATGCATATAGCGTACGCTAATCGTTTTTATATGTGTATATGCTTTTGTGTTTATATATACAGTGTACGCTATTGCTTTTTAAGTGCGTGCTTGTATATGTATTCATATATACAGCGTACACTAGTATAAACCGAATCGTTGTTAAACGTGCAATTAAACTCTGCGCCGATAAAGCCACTTTCAGACTGTTCTACGTGTGTATGTTCATACAGTGTACGCATACCGACTTGCTCAACTTACGATACCAAGCTGTGCTGACGAGGGGCTTATTGCGCTCGGGCCGTGTGCGTGTGTACAGTCTCTGGACAAAAGTACTCAGAACGGGAAGGGTGCTACCATTGATGTATACCTGGGTGAGATGAGGTCTGCTGCTACTAACGATAGAGCACTCGAAAGTACCGAACCTCCCATTGTTCTGTGCTGGATGGTTTGTAGACAGAATAGTGAGGGAGGACACACTTCTACTCCCATCTGCCACGTGCATCGACCATTCGTAGGGTCATGTGCACCACCCATGAATTTTCACATCTGCTGAGAAGGGGATCTGTATTTCCTAAAATCGCAGATATAATCTACGTAACGCAGTAGTTATGGGGGAGTGTACCAGTAAGCCTTCTAAGCGATAGCTGAAAGTTATGTTCTATCTGAATGTAATCAATATATCATAGGTATTCTTAATCAGGCCTTTACTGTATAATAAATTTGTAAGTACAGGAGAGCAGGCTTGTCCAACCGTGGCAGCAACTTCACCAATTTACACGGATTGAAGAAATTCGGAACGATCTAATACGTCTTGAACTCTTACGCATAGTACACATTTTAATAAACAAATAAACATCGATCGAATAGGCCTGTAAAAGCTAGTACGAATGCAAACGCACAGAACAGAAACACATTACATAAATCCACATTTCAAATCGATTTAATGGGCCTGTATGCACTCATACGCATTGAACTGATACATATTTAAATCAACATCGATCTATTAAATAAATAGACATAAGATTTTATACGAATCGATCAGATACACATTTAAATCAACATCGATCTAATAGACATATAAGATTTCATACGAACAATAGAGCAGATACTCATTTAAACCAACGTTGATCTATTTATATGACTTTATATGAATATAACAGTTACACATTCAATTGAACATCGATCTAATAGACCTGTATGAATTCATACACAAGGAACAGATACATATTTAAATCAACAGTGAACTATTAAATAGACCTATATATTTTCATACGAATAGAGCAGATACATATTCAAATCAACATCGATTAAATAGAGCTATATGAAGTCATGCACGTGGAACATCTACACATTTAAAGCCATCAACATCGATCTTTAGACTTATTGATTTCATACTAATAGAACAGATACACATTTAAATCAACATCGATTTTTAATAGACCCATATGTTTCATATGAACGGTACAGGTACACTTTATAGGCCTGTACGAACTTATACACATTTAAATCAACATCAGTCGAATACGCCTCTATGAACTTATATACATCATACGAATACATGTCTATGTTGTGTATCAGGACAAGCACGCAGCAGCAATTGACAAAGTAGTGTCAGATTGTCGGTGACGGACGTAAAATGTATTGAGAGTATTGATTAGTATTGAAAAACGGCTGGTATCGAGGAAGAGTTGTATCCTGAGAGGGTTGGTATTGAGAAAAGCCCAGCCTTCTTAAACAAGAAAGAAAAAGCCCAGCCTTCTTAAACAAATAAGAAATGGCCAATATTGGAAGGAGATGGTGCCGAGGAAGGAAGGTTATTGAATGAAGACTGGTATCGAAAAAAAAAGGTTGGTATTGAGAAAGAACGGGTATCGATAAATGACTGGTATTGGAAAAGGGCTGTTATCGACAAAGGGCGGCTATTGAAAAAAGACTACTATTGAGAAAGGGCTGGTATCGATGAAATACCGGTATTCAAAAAAAAGCTGGTATTGAGAAAGAACTGGTGTTAAAAAAGGGCTAGTTTTGAGGAAGGGTTGGTACTTGGGTAGTGGATGCTAGTATCGATAAAGGACTGTATTAAAAATGACTTGGTTCCGAGAAAGGGTTGGTATCAAAAAGGGCTAGTTTTGAGGAAGGGTTGGTACTTGGGTAGTGGTTGCTAGTATCGTTTAAGGACTGTATTAAAAATGACTTGGTCTCGAGAAAGGGTTGGTATCAAAAAGAGCTAGTTTTGAAAAAGGGCTGGTGTCTGGTATCGATGAAGGACTCGTAATAAAAAAGAGCTGGTATTGAGAAAGGGCTAGTTTCGGTAAAGGACTGGTATCAAAATTCTACAAGCGATAAGTATGACTGGACGCTCCGAGTCTCCGACTGAACTAAAAAAAGGCTGGTATGGTCCTTTGCAGACCTATGGAGAAAGGGGCGAACGGCTGGTACCGATAAAGGACTGGAATTTAAAAAGAGAGCTGGTATCGAGAGAGCAAAATAAGGGAGGGCCTGGCTGGCGGCTGCTGGTAGCCGCTTGTATCGGTAAACTGGTAAAGGTCTGGTGGTATGTATTATATTTTAACAAAGGGCTGGTATCATATTGACTCATTGATAAAGGGCTGCTATTCAGCTATTGAGAAAGGGCTGCTATTGGAGCTGGTATTATATTGGGAAAGAGCTGGTCTTGAGACTTGAGGTGAGTTGAGGACGGGCTGCTATTGAGAAAGTCAAAAAGTGCTGGTCTTGACTATTATAAAAATATTGAGAAAGGGCTGATATGGAGTCTTGTAATCGAGAGGCTATGATTGAGTATTGAGTATTGAGAAAGGGCTGGCTGGTATTTGAGAGGGCTGGTGGTATTGGGAAAGGCTGAAAGGGCTGGTATTCGGTATTGTGAAGGGGCTGGTATATATTGAGAAAGAGCTGGTATTAAGAAATGGCACTTACATGAAAGGACTGATCTTGAGAAAGAGCTGGTATTTTGCAAGGGCTGATATTCATATATTGCTGGTATCGAGGAGGGGTTGGTAGGGCTGGTATTTATTGTGAAAGAGAAATGGCTGTTCAATTTTGAAAAAGGGCTGGTATTGTCTTTGTGCAAGGACTGGTATTGTATAAGAGCTGGTATTGAGTGAGGACTGGAATTTTTCTGTGCAAGGGCTGGTATTGTCATTGAGTAAGGGTTGGTATTGAGCAAGGGTTGATATTAAATAAATACTGGTATTGAGAAAGAGTTGCCATTGATTAAGTGCTGGTATTGAGGCAGTGCTGATACAAGCCACTGCTAGTGCCGAATTATATTATCCTATTCGACAATTGTTGTAAAAAATTGATACTGTTTTATTATATTTCCGACGAGCACCCTAGGTAAATACCTCCATCTTAGCATAGATCTGGTCATCACCAGTAGTTGCTTCATAACACTCGGGCAAACACCGCTTTCCATGCCATACACATACGCATGAGCACATATTACTGCATACGGCTGTGTGTATATGCATT